TACCACTGTTCGGACTTACAGATCGTCTGGTTTCCTCTTTTAAACAAAATTTCTGTCGCAGAAAATGCTACAGCACAAAGAAACCAAAGAAACCAAACCAAAGTATTCTGGCTGGAGTAAGTAAACTGTTACAAGAGAACCAGCAACTACTTCCTGAAGGTAGGGGTTTCTCTGGTCTTCAGTCTGCTTAGCAAGAAGATACTGGAAGGGCCATGTTCTTGAATAACACAACTAGCGAAAGACAGGCAGAAAAGAAACACACATTAATGTTAAAAAAAAAAAATAAAATCACATAGTAGCCACTGGCAAGCAAATATTAGACTTCTTAATATTTACATGTATTACACTAGGTTAACCAGTATTTTAAGTTAATTTTTCACGTGGCTCAACATCAGTTTGCAGCAGCTGGACCTTACATGTGAGAAACCTGTATGATCAGATGACAATTCCTGTCAATTTTCACTGAAGCTGATTTAATGCGTTTCCCATTTCACTAAGTTCATAGAGTCTGTATATTTAATAGCATTTTTCTGGTGCAGCTGTAGCAAGAAGCCAGCCAGGAAATCAACCCCTTTCAGGAAGTAAATAAATGTCAATCTCTGACAGTGTACACTAGCCCGTATACCCACCGCAGCAGAGTATTTCTCCATCTCTGGCAAAGGAATACTTCATTAGAGAAAAATAAATTAGTACTCAGTGTACTAGCATTTTAAATGGTTTAGCTGGGTTTTGTTCGGGTTTGTGTTTTTTTTAATATATAAGCCAAGGGAATTTAAAAAAGTGATTAAACACCAAAAGCTGGCAAAGAAGCTGTGAAAAAATTAATACCCAATTTGCTTGCTAGAAAGAATCTCATTTTAGACCCACCTATCAAAGAACATCAAAGATGCACCACACTATCAGAGCTTGTTTATGAAACTAAAAATTAAGAGATCCATTTGGCATGACCTGCACATAATAAAAACCCCACCCTCTTCAAGAAGTTCTCTTCCTACTCATCTAAACCTTATCTTACTCTTTTCAAGTAAGAATGGAGAAAGTAAAATTAAATGTAAATAAAACAATTTTCCAGTGGGATTCCCTGATAAACAGAAACTTTGTGGCACTTACCACCATTGGACATAGATCACAATAATAAGGAATTCACTACAAGCTGGGAAAAGGCACCAAGGTACAAAGTCTCGTTACCCTTTTGAGCAATACAGCGTCAGAACAACTGGAATTTACGCATCAGCTTTCCAGCTGGGCTTGCTCCAAGTTGACAGCACTGGTCCTCTGGTCCCTCCTACCCTGCTGTGTTTACATGCAGGGTTGTGGTGGGTTTGATTTTTTTCAATGGGCGGAGAGGGAGAAAATTTTGCAATTTCTTTACTGCAAGACACAACACAGAAGAGCCTTCAAGATACACAAAAGGAAAGGAAAACACTTTCCTGCAGTCACTCAGGAGTTACGGCTGAATTAGAAATGAGCAGGCAGATATGTGACCTACCTTCAAAAAAAGGAAGCCAGAGGAAGCACATGACTGACAATCAATATGCTTCACCTTCAGTTTGTTGAATTCTGGGAGAGATTGCTCGGAAAATACTTCTCCCTGTAGGCTTTGCTTCTTGTGAGCAGCAAATGCCCAGGCTGCACGGATGAACACCAGCAGTACCAAGCAGCAGCACTTCTGCAGCACAGCTGTCAGAGCTGGTGCTGTTCTGCTGATTCTCCAAAGGACGGCTCCGAACTTGAGAGCCATCACAAGCCTGGAACCTCCAAGGTACTGCAGCGCTAGGCATTTCGGAAGCAACCGCTGCCCGTGCATTTGCTTTTCGTTGTACTTTGAAGAGCTGTACGCAGTGGGTACCGAAGGACACCGACATGCTCACCTGCACACCCTGCTCGCCACAAGACAGGCGTGCAGGTACCAGCACTGATCTCACACATGTGAACACAGCTGAAGAGTTTCAACACCCCCCGTGCAGACTCCAAGCACGGGCAGACCTATTGGACAATGTTCGTCCAGAAACAACTTCTTCTGCATATGCATGCAACAGCTGAGGGACATTCATCTCTTCCCACAGATCTTCCCCACAAGCTTACCCAGGGATTACTTATCCTTTTGTTCTCAGCAGTAGGGATTGCAGGGTTTGGAGTAAATATACAGCTATTTTTTTTTTCCATGGTATTTTTAAGGGAATATTTTCTTGTGCTACATCACTATTCTGTCTCAATCTATAAAGGTAGATAAATGCAGCCTCAGAAATTTCCTTTTATATTTGACCTTTCTTGAAGGATTTCAGTAAACATTAAGAAACGACCAAGTAGGAACAAAATCAGTGCAAAAGGCAGGGTGGGGAACACTTGCAACACACCAGTGTGTCATGCAGCCTCATGCAAAAGAACAAAGTCTAATCATTTTGAACTTCAACGTTTGGCTTTTGTCCCTAGTAACATCTGCAAGGCATTTTCAGATGATCTCAGCAATGTCTCGTTTCACTATGTAAATTAAAGACACAGTAGTCTTTTATTGTGACCACTCGAAAATACAGCAGATTAACATGAAGCAACACACCAGTGTGAAGGTCAACATTTTTTAAAAGTTGTAAGATAGATTTATTTTAGAACGACGCACAAGTGCAACCAGTTTTCTGCATCCTATCGCAACTTACAGGGACAAAGCTGTATTCTACTCCCTCTGGACAGCCCATAAGCACCCACAAAGCACTACTAAATTCAGAGTGGGCTGAATAGGCTCCTTCAGGTTAACTGGCCTTTCTCCATCATACTATTCACCCATACAAAGAATCTATTACCGGTGTCCTACACAACGATACGCAGCACAGTGTCTTGCACCTTGAAAAATACTAATAAGGTAAGGTTCTTAGAGTTTAAACACACTACACTGGTAAAATAGATCTATACAAATGGCTAAAGTAGATAAGGCAGTAAAGAACGCAGCTGCCACGTGTATATATAACATAAAGCAGTTTCCTGCTCCTAAGACCTTGAAACTTGCTACCAAGAGCAGATTAATGCTCATAATGCTAAGCAACCCACCGCCGCCTTCAGCGTGTCTCTCCAAAAAAAAAAAAAGCCATATTCAGAATACAACTCAAAACCATCAGAATTAGACCAACCTACGCTTTGAAACACTCAGGTTTTCGACAGCTCAATAACCTATGGTGTAATCTGATTATCACAGTGAGATTTTAATCCAGTGCTCCTCAGCCACTTGTCCGTCACAGTGCTGCTATGAGTTCTGCCACCACAGCCGTGCACCGCAGTGCTTCTGGGTGAACACCAGAAGATCCTGCTAAGTGAAATTCTCTTTGCAGCATTTGGAGTTCAGAATTTATAGATTGCTTTGAGCAGCCTTTGAATTCCATGTTTCTAAACACCAAAAACACTCGATCCAAATCTAAAGGCTATAAAACAACACAATAGCAGAAACTTATTACTGCTTGACATGAGTGAAACTACCAACTGCCACAACAGCCCAACTCTAAAAGACACTCTGCAGGGACCCAGCCCTTTTCGCGTTTACAGCCTGGGTACTACAGCTCTACGAAAGTGCACAGGCATTAACCTATGTCTCCCTCTCATTCTGTTTTCAATGTAAAACAAGCTACACTTGACCGTAACTCAGTTTCATCTCAGATAGATTAAAATTGCACTGCAGATACAGACAGCAAAGTTTGTTTATTTTAAGGATTATTTATAGACTGACTAAGAGGAAGGCACTAACTTTGCTGCTTTGAGAACATATTCCTTTCAAGCCAACGCGCAACTGGAGAGCAGCAAATGTTAAAATCGGCAGGCAGACTTGAGCTGAGGCTGCAGTTTCACAACGAGCTGAAAGTTGGGTAGGTGCTGGCACCAAAGAGGCATGACCAAACCCTTTTCTCTTTTGATCAGGTTAGTTTTCATCTGGGCAAGTTCCACAATTCCGCTTACCATCATCAGTAACAACAACTGACGGCGTAACTTAGCGATACACCGTCACAGCTCTCCTCCTTTGAGTAGCAGACCGCAGACTCCGCTGAACCCATTGCTAAATTAAAGCCCTAGTTAATGCAAACCAAAAGGTGGCCCACAA